GAGAGAGAGAGAGAGAGAGAGAGAGAGAGAGAGAGAGAGAGAGAAAAGAGTCAGAGAGCGACAGAAAGAAAGAGAATGATAAACAAGTATAACGTATAACACAGACATCAACTTAAATCATAATTAACCTCGTCTAGCATCCGCCATGAGGTATTTCCCTGCCCTGCTTGCATGCAGACTTTACCAACAATTAACCTTCAGACTGTGCTTTCACCAAGGCCAATTGGATTTACCACAAGATGGCACTGGGAACGTCTACAGTGCATAATTACGTAAGTGTGGGCAGTCTGCGTACAACCGTCTCGTCGTTTGGTCATGAATATCTCATGTCTGCTCAACTCAGTATTGTATATGCATCCATGTATGTACATATGTATATGTTATAATATATATATATATATATATATATATATATATATATATATATATATATATATATTACTTATATATGTGTGTGTGTGTGTGTGTGTGTGTGTGTGTGTGTGTGTGTGTGTGTGTGTGTGTGTGTGTGTGTGTGTGTGTGTGTGTGTGTGTGTTGTATGTGTGTGTGTGTGTGTGTGTGTGTGTGTGTGTGTGTGTGTTGTGTGTGTGTGTGTGTGTGTGTGTGTGTGTGTGTGTGTGTGTGTGTGTGTGTGCGTGTGTGTACACATATATACACACACACATATATTATATATTTATATATATATATATATATATATATATATATATATATATATATATATAAACACCCATTTGCTTGCATCTATATGCATATATCTGTATATATCATCCATTTGCATTTTATATTTACAGTACAGGCGATTCTGAAAACCCTAAAGTTCTTAAGAAACAAAAGGTATAAGTATAGCTATGATATTATCTGAATGCTCCCGCAAATGGAACAGAATAGCATATGGTGTTTACCTGTTGTGTTGGACATGTTAGTACACGGGTAAATACTGATTGAGTTGATGGATTACATCTATGGTGGCATACCTTACATGTAGGTATTCATAAGGATGTAAGTTATAATACTTTCTTACATATAAGCCTACTGCTAATTCATTCGAAGAATTATTAAAGAATAAACAATCTGCACAATAGAATATCGAAAAAAAAAAACAATACACGTGGTCTACGGAAAGCGTCAAATGAAAACGAATTACGTAAATATTACGCTTCAGTTACACCTGTCTTTCATTAGTTTTAATGCATCGTTAGTTTACACGCAGTAAATTGTTATCGATACTATTTTTTCGGCAAAAGGCCAAACACTGTCTGCTATCATGCTACTCTGTCCATTTGATCGAGGTACTAAAGACACTTAAAACTTTCACTTCTATAACACTTTAGATCAATATCTATTTGTAGTTGTGATTTGTATATGTACTCATGAAAAACACATTTATTTTTCCATAGATATGAAAATTAATGTAGAATGAAGCAGTGCTCAAATGCGGTTAATTCCATGCTTATATTCGGCGAAGTGCACTGGGTGCTATTAATTCATAACTAGATGAAAAAGATCCTTCTGTAGCTGAAACAATATTTTAGTTCCTTTTGTAATAGGGAAATCACTAGAAATAATAAATCGGTAATGATTAACAAGATCACAGGATTACTACTAAGTATTCAATAAAGAAAATAATATCTGTTTCGATTCGAACGCAAGGACGGTCGTCTGTTGTTGTGATTGACAAGACGGCACGAAAGTTACGTTAATTTCCGTCGAATTTCAGTCATTACACCATGACGGAGGACATGGAGGAGTTGCAGGATGACGGGGAGGATTATTACACCTTTTTAAACATCTCAAGAACGGTAAGAGCTCCTTTGAAGCTTATATGAGAATCTATAACGGAGATGCGAGAAGGACGGCCAGAATTGTTGGTCAACGCTGGGATGACCTTCGTTTGCCTAGATGATCGAATTATACATTCGAGAATTTGGGAATATCAGCCATATGCAGTTTATTGAGAAACACATGTTTATATCGGCGGTACGATGATGTTTGTATTGTATTTGGAATTGAGAGTTCAGTTTGATTTCGGCGAACTTTGATTATAAATTTAAATTTCGATTTGGGTCAAAATGTAGAAGCTTGGCTGAGATACTGTAGATTCCGTTTATTCTCCAATGGCACTGGCTATTTAACCATTTTTAATTGCTAAGATCTATTTTTATACCTGATTATGTAACTCAAAGTATCTAAATATACCTCTGGTTATGTAATTTCAGCATGGCAAATATTGATCATAATTGATGTTTTATTAAAGTTTGTGCTACATTTATATATTATATGATGAAAAGGGAGATATATAGAAGACACTGACTTTGTAAAGCAGATTTTTTTCATGAATTTATATTCTGTGGGCTCTATTGAAATGTATTTGAAACTGACGGTGATATGTGATCTGCGATCAGTTGCGTGATCTAGTAAAGACTAACAAATCTCTACATTATTTGGTATGGTTCTTTGTTTGGATATACATTTCCAGGGAAGTCTAAAACTCTAACTTCCCAGAATAAATGTTTTTTTGGCAGTGCACTGACAGGTATAGATAGGGTTTATAGTGACATGTTATTATATAAAAAAAAGAAATAATATATGTATATGTATATGTTATATTATTATTATATATATATGTATATGTATGTATATATATATATGTATATATATTATATATATATATATATATGATATATATATGTATATATATATATATATATATATGTATATATATATGTATATATATATGTATATGTATATTATATATATGTATATGTATAATATATATATATATATATATATTATATATATATATATATATATATACATATATACATATATACATATATATACATATTATATATATCGTATGGTATATCATATCTATATCTATCTATTATATCATATCTATATCTATCTATATCTATCTATCTATCTATCTATTTCTATCTATCTATCTACTCTATCTATCATCTATCTATCTATCTATTCTATCTTATCTATATATCTATATCTATATCTATCTATCTATCTATATATCTATTATCTATCTATCTATATCTATCTATCTATCTATTATATATATATTATATATATAATATATATATATATATATATATATACACATACGTATACAAATGCATATTCATATGTATATGTATATGTATATGTAAGGGTATATGTATATATATGTATGTATGATAAGACTAGAGGATATCTACCCACACTATATCATTAAGAAAAAAATATATTCCCCCTCTGTATGATGTGATCAACACCATGAAAAGAAAAAATTAGTGCTCTGACATATTGTGGTTACAAGAAGCATCTAAATTTCTTCGGTGAAGCAATTTTTTCCAAGTCGCTCTACATGTTTACACTGTGGCCTAGAATAGTAAAATGACTGCACAGCTCATTACTGTGATGTTTCAACTAGTTTGTGTTACTATGTGCTTGTGAAAATGATTTTTTTCCTATTTGTTCCTATCTACTCCACTATATGTGGGCATCTTGTATTCTTATGTAATATTTAAAAAAAAATGTTTGTTATGAATTATTTTGGATTTTTATATAATTTTTTATCGCATGTGCGTTTTCCCAACTGGGATTTTCGACAGTTCCTTAACTAGTCTTTGACAGTCACTGGTATGTTTTGTGCTGGATGTGATCTTGGCCATGGTCCTTTTAAGGGAATATAGTGAAAATTCTTTGAAAGTTATTGACATTTGCATAAATCAGTGTGTAAAGCGAACCTTTAACTTGTGTGAAATGTGGAAATAAGAGCAGCGTTAATTGATTATTCATGATGCATTTCCTGGTGCCCAACAAGTGTTTCCACCAGGAAAAATGGTAGGCTGCTAAAAGGGTATATTGTTTTAAAGTTATTGTTTTGAGACTGTGGGGGTCAGGGGAAGGAAGTATGATGAGGGGGTCTGGGGGGGTTGAGCCCTCGTTAGAGAAGTACGATGATTTGGGAGGGGGTCCGGGCATAGCCCTGTTCGAGACATGTGCTGCTGGAGGGGGGTCTCTGAACGGTGTGTTACCATTCAAAATCACAATATATTTATAGTACACATATATTTCTCCTTGAAAATAGTATTTTTCTGGGAAAAATAGTGGCATTTGTCTTATATATATATATATATATATTATATATATATATTATATATATATATATATATATATATATATATATATATATATATATATATATATACATATACATATACATATACGCACACACATATACAAATAACACATATATATATATATACACACATATGTACCTGTGAAGCATATGTGTCATGAACACATATGTACCTGTGAAGTATACATGTGTCATGACTTCCGGCCTGGCTGTACACAGCTTAGGCATAGCCACAAAGTCTAGGCTGTTACATAATATTACACCTCAAAATATTCAGACCCCTTCATCATAGGGATATTTTTTCAAATATTTTAAACTCTTTACTCTCCCTTGCTCTGACAATGAAAGAAAGTTATAGTTTTTTTGGGAACTCATTAACCCATTGGATCCTGATCCTGCACTGCTATCATGTGGCCCAAAATATTGGCATTAGGCATGCATGAGCGGACACTATGCAAGGTGTTTGGCTTGTAGGCAAACAAAACACTTGTGTTTGTTTGTTAACCCATCAGCGACGGGTAAAATTTTGTCGAAGTTTACGTATGCGCGGCTTGTTGCCGCGCACTGGCAGTTTCCCCTGTTTGTGCCCAGCTCGATCGGTAGTTTGCGAGCGACATATAGCACCTAAAATCTTTTATTTAGCTATTATTTTAAAATATAAAAAATTTTGAAGGTTTACCTTCACTTTAGGTGCATTGCCTATAATCTTTACCATATAAATGAAGCCGCTACTAGTGGAGAAAAACAACCTCCTTCGACGAGCCAGTAGCGCGGGAATGGGCATGGCATGATGCCCGCGGCGTTTGGTCCACAAAAGCCATGGCATGTACGTACGTGACACCCGGCGCCAATGGGTTAATT